CAGCCTTCATTTTTGTTGAAGTTTTTACATTTTATGTTTTTACAGATACACTTAGAGGTCAGAACTGTTAACTGTTTATCCCTATATTTGTACAGCATAATACATATCTGGATACCATATGCCTTACAAATAATAACCTTTATCCAAAATATTTAAAAAAGATCCACGGGTATCTGCGAATATCTGGACATAACTAATTAAAAAGTGAGAGCTATTTTTTCCGTAAGAATTTTATGAACTCTGCATATTTACCACAATGGTAATATGCAGGTTCATCTATATGGTATAGTACGTATCTAGTTGAAATAAATGAAATCAAAAGTGCTAATTCACCAATTTATCATTTCACCAATTCACCAATTCACAATTCACCAATTCACCTTTCACCAATTTACCGTTTCACCAATTACACCAATTACACCAATTCTCAATTCACCGTTTCACCGTTTCACCAATTCACCAATTCACCATTTCAAAATTTTATTTTGATGTAATTCTGGTGAAATTATTTCACCATTTCACCTGGTGAAATTAACCCATTTCACCAGCATCTATAATCCCAATATTGTCTGTTTTGTTAGCGATATCGATCTACCTCCTGATATCTTACAATATGCTGCTGGTATTTGGCGGATCTATGACAGAATATTGGGTACATATCAGGAAACTTGTTTCCCGCCCGGTATGCACCTGATATTCATTGATTCAACCAGTGTTATTCCCGTTAAAATTTTCTGATTAAGGGCGTTCTCAAGCACTTACATCAATGGACCCAATAACGAATCTGATTGGTCTGTTTGATCAAACTAGCCAATCAGATTTTTATTGAATTCATTGAGATAGGTGCTTGAGAACACCCTAAAATATGCCTAAATTTCGGTATCAGCAGTGTTTATAACAAGTAATACAGCAACAAACGCATTAGTAATTGTTTGCGTTTTTTATATTCATTGATTTAAATCAATATGCTATTGACCAAAACTTACAGAAATTTCATACCAAGCAACTTTAATACCAATGTTGACAAAAAATAAATAAAATTGCCACTTTAGTACATAGAATACAATAATTGTTATATGGGATCTTTGTTAGAAAATTATCCTCCGATACATATAGATTTTATGAATAAAATTTTTCATCCAACGGTCAATTTGAATGATTGTTTCGTAGAACTTACTAAGCTCTAAAAAGGCTTATTCAACTTGGATCATTGAATGGTTAATATAAAATTAGTATTTATTTATAAAATCTACGTAGTATCAGAGGGACATCTCCTATATATAGAAAAAAAACAATTTGTAAAATGTAAAGATTTCAAATAGTAATTATAAGTTCTACAGTAGTCGTTTTTTTTTTTGAATTTAATATATACGTACTATACGTTTACTTAACAAATAATGTATATTCAGTCGATAACAGTCGATAAAACCGTGCAAATTCAACAAAGAACAGGATAAATATTATATCAAAACTTATTGTCTACTAGGAGCTATACCATAATTTATTGATCTTAATTTGTCTTGTAAATCATACATAGAAATATCAAAACCTGCATATAAATTTCTTAGATTATTTTTTTTAGATCTTAGAAGGTAGTTTAGCATTTTAACTTAGAGATTTTCTTAAGGTATTTAAAAGGGGTTATTTGGATTATTCGAAATTGCGTTATTATCATGGAATATATTTATCCTTTTCAGATTGAATATTATCGGTCAAAGCATCTGATATATTCGAAAAGGAGATACCAAATGCATTAAAATTGATACCATCGTCATAGGTTCCATCTAAAGGATTGTTACATTCTTGTAGATTGTCTTGCCATGATTGATTAAACCAGTTTGCCATGGTATAGTTGAACAGATTTGTGGCATTATCAGATTCATTTTCAACACTAATTGGAGGAGTTTGAGTTAATGCCACGCCGGGTAAAGGCATCAAATTTGAAATAGGAATTTCAAGAGAATCATCAGAATTTACATCAGGGCTTGGATATGCTGTCCTACCAAATTGATGTGCTATATCTAATCGAAGGAATTCAGAAGATAATTGTGCTTTTGAAACATTCGTATCAACTATTTGTCGGTGATCATAATCGAATGGAGGATCAGGACTTGGGCAGATGGTTTGATTGTAAAAATCATGACTCCTACGCGAATTTTTGATTGTATTACGAAAATTTAGAGTTTGGAACATATTCGATGGCTCATAGACGATTTCAGAAGACCGGAGACTCCCCGATGGTGAAAAGCTCGAAGGTATGACATCGACTGTATGAAGTTTTTCCGAGCCAGAGGATTGAGGTAATTGAGGTAATTGAGTCGAATTGTTTGTTGAAGGTGTGCCAGATCGATTTGACTGTTGGAACGAGACGATATTCCATTTTTCACGTTTTTTTCGTCTGTAAGATTTCGGATAAATCTCACTATGATATTTGCTGGCTTCTCGTGCAATTCTCATATACTCATTTTTTACCACCTCGGGTTCTTGTTCCCACGATTTGGAAGCAATTGAGGAAATGACAGTCATTGGTAAATAATAACCTTTTTCGCGTGCCGCCTCGACGCACGCTTTTCGATAAACAATGAAAGAGTTTGGAGCTCTAGCAGGAGTTCGTCCATCAGATCGTTTTTCTATCAAGTCATGAGGATTGATAGTAGGAGGAAATGGAGGTTTGAATGTTTGTTCACTGTTGTTGTTAATTAATTGATTAGGAAACGAGGGGTCACTTGAATCGATGAAAACACATTCTCGAGGTAATGAATTCTGCACTCTTGAAGCCTTGCTTATACTCAAATCGCTCATAACGGCCCAAATTTACGGGAGTCTATTTCTATTAACTTCTATTTATCG